TATGATGAAGGAGATAGGTTATACATGTAAGGAGCAAGTGGAGCGGATTGCTTTGGCTGATAAGGGGTTGTGGGGATAGGGGACTGGGGGAAGGGTTTTTTCGGGCCTTCTTCGGTGGAAGAGATTTTAATTTGATGCTTTGGCCACTGAAGAGTATGAAGCGATATTACCTCGATTATGTGACGTTGTTTTGAATGTTGTTTTGGCTTCACGCATAGTGCATTTTCGGACTGTTTTTTAATTTTGAGTATTTCTCTTTGTTCTTGGTACTTAGGGCATTGTCGGGAAGAGGCCAATGCTCGCCAGAGCAATTGACACTGCAGATTTTTGTGGGGTGTTTTCGCATGTTCTGATTGTGTAAACGAGGCGTTGGAAAGACTTGCATCTCATGGGGTTTGGTATGAACTCGCGAACTTTTACCAAGAAATTTCGGTTATAGAGTTCGAAGGTTATTAGGATAACTCCGCTGGGTTTGGACACACCATCGTAGGATTTCATAAATTTATAAACTTCCGTAACCTCTAGTCATTTAAAGTCATCGACGATTTCTTTATCGGGAGTGTCACAGAGGTACAAGGCATATACTGTCCCTTTCACAGAATTGAGAGCCTCGTGTACTTTGCATATGCCGGTGAGCTCGGAAGTATTTAAAAAATTTTCAGCATCGGCTTGAGATTTTACTAGCATGAGTATATTTCCGTCTCTGAGGCTGGAAATTGTCACAATGTTTTTGAGATCATTTTTAAGGCACGGTGGACGGCGAAGCATGAAAATTGCAAAATTGTCTTTTCGATATAGATGAAGGAGATTGTAATATACCTTGGATTGTCAACTGAGGTAGGTGAAAGTTCAGGAAAGGCAATATCCAGTGTTTGGGGTTGTCTTCTTTTTTTTGATGGTGGGCTGATGGCAACCGGCGCAAGCCGATTGTCGCCCAGGTTTGGAGGCCCTGGGTTCATGACTTCTTGACTTTTATACGTAAATCTTTTTTTTTATAATCAGTGGATTGAAGACTACTGCAAAACACACTACAAAAAACAAGGAAGAATGCTATAGACGAGTACCTCGACTATCAGATACCCGTTACTCAGATAAAGGGACCAAAGGGAAATAGAGATAGCAGCAAAGCGAGATTAAAATGCACCACCTACCGGCGGTAGACAGATTTAAGCGTTATGGGCGTTAGAGTGGGCGTGTCAAATTTTTTGGATCAATCGATAGGTATTGACGAGACCAATACATTACAGTTAAAATTTTTTATCTAGCGTGAAAATTGTGGGCGTCACAGGCTTGTGCGGTTTGTGGGCGTTAAAGTGGGCGTGGCAAAACTAGCATCAAAACTGTAGGAGCCACAGTTTTGGGCGGTTTGTGGGCGTAAGAGTGGGCGTGGCTCTCTGCTGAAACAAACTTGCGCTGCGTAAGAAGCTCAGGAATTTCCACGCCAAATCTCAATAGCCTAGCTCCTATTGTTTCCGAGATCTCAGCGTTCATCCGGACAGACGGACATTGCTAGTTCGACTCGGCTAGTGATCCTGATCAAGAATATATATACTTTATGGGGTCGGAAACGCTTCCTTCTGCCTGTTACATACTTTCCGACGAATCTAGTATACCCTTTTACTCTACGAGTAACGGGTATAAATATGAAAGATAAGAAACACGTGAGCCAAAGAAGAGCAGTGACCGATCGGTACCCTCTGTTTGGAGATAAGAGACGTCTGCTCGCGACGAGAGATAGTCGAAAATTTGTATGATGAATAAGTTTTCAAAATTGATTAGTTAAATCAAAATGTCGTTTTCCTTCTCAACCTACCATTAACATTTCTGGCTATTTCTAGTTATTTTTGAAGTCTGTTTAGACAAAAGGTTTTCTGCAGCAACGACAAAATTTCGCTTCAGCTACTGTCATCCAAAAGAAGTGCGGTTGCGACCATGGAAATAGTAGTGCTGCAAACAAATAAAAACAACAAAAATAATATTTTAGCGTCAGATTAGCCCGTTGCGACGAAATTAACCTCTGCAAATTATAAATAAAAACGAGTATATAATAATATTCAGAAATAAAAACAAGGAAGAACGCTATAATCGAGTACCTCGACTATCAGATACCCGTTACTCAGCTAAATAGAGATATGCAAGTAGCAAAGCGAGATTAAAATGCGCCACCTACCGGCGGTATACAGATTTAAGCGTTATGGGCGTTAGAGTGGGCGTGGCAAACTTTTTTTTTTTGATCAATCGATAGGTATTGACGAGACCAATACATTTCAGTTAAATTTTTTTATCTAGCATGAAAATTGTGGGCGTCACAGGCTTTCGCGGTTTGTGGGCGTTAGAGGAGGCGTGGCAAACCTTTTTTTGGGTCAATCGATAGGTATTAATGAGAACAATACATTTCAGTTAAAATTTTATTCTAGCATTAAAACTGTAGGAGCCACAGTTTTGGGCGATTTGTGGGCGTTAGAGTGGGCGTGACACTTTGCTGAAACAAACTTGCACTGCGTAAGAAGCTCAGGAATCTGCACGCCAAATCTTAATATTCTAGCTCTTATAGTTTCCGAGATCTAGCGTTCATGGCTAGATCGACTCGGCTAGTGATCCTGATCAAGAATCGGGGTCGGAAACGCTTCCTTCTGCCTGTTACATACTTTTCGACGAATCTAGTATACCCTTTTACTCTACGAGTAACGGGTAAATTTATTAATTCTATTATTTTCCGACAATTGTAGACCTATTAAGAAAGTAGTTTTAAAAGCTTCATTCATTAAAATCAGTTCTTTAAAGTTAGTTGAGCTATACATTTGGTTGGCTTGCTTGCACTTACATACGTAAAATCGTTCAGACTGAGAAAAAAGTGCTTTAATGAAAGCAGCCGAACAAGGACGTTCTAAATATACAATTTCTAATACAAATGGACCCAAAATCGAGTCTAAAACGTCTCCAAATCAATTTTCATTTTGCGGTTTTACAATTAAGTATAATATTTAGAAGGCCTAATGATCTAATAAGGGACCTGTATTAATCCCTGTGGTGTGCTCCTTCATTACGTGCCTAGTCCTTTTTAAGCATTTCTACATATGTATATTAAATCGGAAACATTATTAGGTATAAATAAATTTGTTCTCACTATTCACTTTAAAAAAAGATGTTTTGCTCTTTCTTTTTATTGAGCACTGAACTTTTCGATTCCCTTAATAGTTCTTTCCTCGGGGCACTTTCCTTGGAACCCCTTTCTAATGTAAAATTGTTCTTATCAATACCTATCGATTGATCCAAAAAAAAGTTTTCCACGCCCACTTTAACGCCCACAAACTTAAAGAAATCGTAAATAGGAGAGCGGATATCTCGGAAAATATCAAAGATGGAGAATTGGGATTTCAAATTTAGATTTCGTAGCCTTGAGCACAGCGCAAGTTTGCTACGCGAATATGCCAATATGCGCCCAGAATTTTCATGCTAGATAAAAATTTTTAACTGAAATGTATTAGTCTCATCTATACCTATCGGTTGACCCAAAAAAAGTTTCCCACGCCCACTCTAACGCGCATAACGCCTAAATCTTTCTACCGCCCACTTAACCATATATTGAGATCACGGGTAGGTGGCGCATTCTCGCTTTGCTGCTTGCATATCTCCATTTCCCTTTGGTCCCTTTAGCTGAGTGACGGATATCTGATAGTCGAGGTACTCTACTTTAGCGTTCTTCCTTGTTTTGAAGTTTGTGGGCGGCTTGTGGGCGTTAAAGTGGGCGTTGGGTCACGATGATGAGAGCAATACATTTCAGTTAACATTTTATTTTAGCATCAAAACTGTAGGAGCCACAGGTTTGGGAGGTTTGTGGGCGTTAGAGTGGACGTGGCACCCTGCTGAAACAAAAATGCGCTGCGCAAGAAGTTCAGGAATCTGAATGCCAAATAGCCTATCTCTTATAAACATAGACCACATTTATTATTTATTTCATTTATAATGTCCGGGAAGACTAAGGGTTTTCCCAGTATTCGTGCTCTTTTTCTCCAATTTAAGAGAACTTTACGAGAACATTGCATTATAGTTGCAATTTTTCCAAGTAAACATTGACCAAATTGTTTTTTCTCATTTGTTCTATTTACCTGAGCATGGCTGTAGGTCCTGTGACTTGACATTCATAATTTACATTTTCCAGATTTCGTAGGTTGAATTGTCGTAAATGTAAATAGAACCTGTAGAGTCTGCCATTTCAATTGAGGCCGTTACAAGAAGGGTAGCTGAAGGGCAAATTTGAAGAAAACTGATGGCTTGAAAGGTTAACGTGTTCGCTCAGAAGGCTCGGAAACATTTCCAAAGTGGGAGTGGTTCTTTTAAAAAAAATGTTCAGGTGTGCTCTGGTTTCCACTAAAGCTCGAAAAGTCTGTAAAAGATGGTTAAAGACCCTTTGCTCATTAAACAAATTTAAATAGCAAAAACACATTTTCCAGCAATGTTGGTATCAGGGGAAGTACTCATTAACTTTTGATCTCGCCGAAATGAACAAAAATGAGTCGAAACCCCTGAGATTTTCTTGGATAGAAAACTAGAGGAAATTCGTAGCCACCTTTATAATAATAATATACTTAATTAAAGACAACAGTGCGTATGAAAAGGAACCTATAAAAGCTTGAATTAGGCATACGGATTCTTGAGGTTCTTGCTCGGCACAAGTTTTTTATGTCCTTGAAGACCAAAAACCGCATAAGATTAAATGATTTTGTTCATATCAGACCATTAGCTACAAAGTTATGACCCTAATTGGTCACAAATGGTCGCAGCCAGTAGATAAAAAAAGTAAGCACAAATTTTTTTCACGAATCGAAGGCATTCTTTTTTGAGCGTGGTTAAAAGCGTAACATATATCTTATATTCGAGGCATTGGAATATAGTGTTCCCTTACACTCTTACATTAAATAACCTTGAAGTCCTTAATAACACCCTCCTAATATACGAATAACGGAGGCATAAAAGAGTGTTCAATATTTAACTTAAGCTTAAAGTGTTTTTAATATGTCTCTAACCACAGTGCGAAACATACAGGATAAAGCGCAGTCGAAGCGTTTTAGGCAGAGCTGCCTCAGACCGAGGAGGAGTTGGCCAAACCGCAAATAATTGGATTGCTGAAGAGTGTAACGTGCTAGAGAAACCAGGGCGGCGTTCGAGTGACCTCCCAGGATAACGGCGTACTCTGTACTGATAGCCAGTTCTGAAAATAATATAAACAATAAAAGAAATTTGGGCTTAGTCTTAAGTCACCAACATTGAAATATTTCACATGACTCAATTTTCTAGGACTTAAATAAATAAGAAAGATTAATTGTATAAATACAAACTTACATTCTTTAAAAAATAATATTGAGACTAAAGTACAATTTATATTTTCGAACTTTTTTTAATTTTAAATACACCAACATGCACCGTCTACGCCCTGTAGAAGTTTTAAAAGGTACACATTTAAGGTATTACAAAAATAATATTGAGATTGTAGTACACATTCGTTTTTCGCGAACGCCCACTCCGTCGTCCCTTTATTGAATTCGAAATCGAAATTTGGTTTGAACTCAAACTTTCAAAATTTGGTCAAGTATTTCAAAAAAAAGTAGGTCACTACATTTTTTAGGTGCGACTCTCACTACTTTTTATACTAACTAAAAAAACATGATTACAGTTCCTGGTTCGAACCTTTTTTATTTAAATAATTTTCCTTTCTGGGACATTGTTTTTTAACCAAATTTATATGCTAGGCGTCCGAATCTTACCTTTTCTGCACAATATCAGGGACTCTAGGAAATTTAGTTCCAGCACGTCGGCCTTCAGCAGATGGGCCTCGAAGATGAGGCGCTTGAGCTGCTCATCGCCGCAGCCCTCGATCATGGCGCTGATGTCCAGGGACCAGTGGGAGGCTCGCAGGACGAAGATCTCGCTCCACACCACTTGCAGGATGGCGTCCTGTTGGCAGCGATCCAGGAGCGCGAACTGCTCGTTGGTCTTCGCCTGTCGCAGGCATGTGATGAGGATCTGGGCGAGAATCTGGAAGTGCAGCGCCTGGGAATGCGGCGGTGGGCATGGCACTGGCACGGACTGCGGCGGATGTCTCCTGGCGTTCCGGTAGGGAGCGATCTGCTGGTTGCGCGGACCGCGCTCCTCCTGAACAGCGGCGGCGTTCATCCCCACGGCCAGACATCGCTGAAAGCGGCAGGAGGGGCACCAGTTCCTCCTCGCCTTGTCCACCACACAGTTGCCGGCGAGGGCGATGCAGGCGTAGCTACTGCCTCGCCTCACGCTCCGCTTGAAGAAGCACGAACACCCATCGCAGCAGGCCACGCCGTAGTGCTTCCCGGAACTCTGATCGCCACACACAGCGCAGTCACTGAAGCTCGACATGGTCACCGCCGCCAATGAGAGTCGCGACGGACTGAATCGGGTCCTTCTGGATATTGGCGGTTTTATATGCGACCTGGTCGCCCGATACCCACAAATGATATGCAAACCTACACAAGAAAAATCAAATGCCTCTTTAAAAAAAGCATTTGTATCAATGTAATATCAAAGTAAAGGAATATATTCATGTAATCTACAGAACTTTTTATGAATAACGGCAGTCTTATGACAATCATTAACGAAGCCACAATTGCTTAATGTTTCCTTATAAATACAAAACGTAACAAAAGGGTCATTATTCCATGCATCCTTATGTAACACTAGACTCCGGAACCACAGATCGAATATAGAAGGACTCTTAAATCCATTTCCATTTGTATCTTAAATACATAATTATACAAGTGGTTGTTAAGACCTAATATTTAAATTTAACTGCATGTAATGTAACATTTTACAAAGTGTTTTTATAAAGTATTTAAGATATAAATATTTTTGAGCTGCATTATTATATATTTCCTCTAGTGTAGGACAGCATTGTGCCAAAGCGTGATTCGAGGATTTTTGTTTGTCCGAGACGTTCTGGCAGGGGGCGTGGCGCGTCAAAAGTGACAATCATCTACTGCTATTCCGGAGCGTGTTAACAATTTGTAAACAATTATTGTTTTGCTCTGTGATTGGACGCGCGCTTGCCACTTGAAGTGTCCGCGCTGAGGTCCTTTTGTACTGACATTTCGGGTAAACACCGAAGACGTTCGTGGGTGGAGAATAGAATAGGGTTGGGTTTGTAAGTCTTCCTGGATTATATTCCTGCAATTCCTTGGCCGAATCGGCAAACTATTTAATTAAACGTTATCTGTAAGTCACAGCTTTTAGTTAATTCTGAGCTAAGGTTCCTAATACATATTGTAGATAGTTCATTCACATCATATAGGCTAATCCCGTCACTTTTCAGGACGGGGCGAAACGCTCTAGAAAGGTGAAGGTAGATGGTGGGCTCAGTAACTGAACATATTCATTTTACCAGTCTGCAGTAAGCTAATTTTGTCACCCAGAAGGGTAATCAATACAAATTGAAACGGGAAAGAAATACAGAAGACAGTCATCGCATCCTCGAAAGCTACATTGGCCCAATTGCTATACCTGAGAATTTCCATATTGCCCACTCCTACGTCATCCAACTCAACATAGGCTTTCAAAAATAAAATAAATAACTACAGACAATAAACATGCAAATGGTTATAGCTCACAATGTTTATTAAAATTTTACATTTTATAATGATATGTATGCTTAAAGATTACCACATGTGACAAGTTTCAGCAACAACGCGCATACCACTTCCAACGGGACAGTTGAAGGCCTGGAAGAAATCTTCGATATTCGATAAGGGTCCCAGTACGCGGTACTTCTCGATAGTGTGATTTATTTAATTATCCAGCAAGTCCCATAAATGCTCCTCCTTGTAATCCGAGCAAAACATCTGAGCGAAGCCCAGGAAGAAGAGTTGCTCCGGCAAGAGGTCAAGACCCGGTAATTGCTCGTTGATCCTGTCCTGCTTAGGATCCTCCAGCAGTTGCTTCATGTGGATGCGGTAGGCCTCCAGAGCCTGCCTCAATCCGCCACTGTCGGCAATGTTCTCGTCCACCGTTTTCTTTCCATCGACATGGCGATCGATCTCCGGTATCAGATACTTACTGAAAGCTTTCACAAAGCACTCAGTGCGTTTCTTAAAGCCCAGTTCCGATTTCTCCGACCACCAAGACAGATATTTTCCATCGGCATCGAACTTTGAGCCTTGGGTGTCGAAGCCGTGGGTGAGTTCGTGGCCAATCACGTAGCCCAAGGTGCCGAGTTTCAGGGAGATCGGCCAAGAATGGTGGTAAATTGGTGGCTCTAGAATGCCAGCCAGTACATAAATAGAATTTTCAAAGGGATGATAAAAAGCTTGCACCTGCATCGCCAGCAGAACCATCTGTGGCAGGGCCTCTTCGGACAGTTCCTCAGAGTGGCGGGTGCTGAATCGATTCATGTCGACTCTGAGGCGGTACAAGTTAATATTGGTCGCAGCATAACTATCGTCGATTATTTCAAGACGGTTGATCTCCCGAATCAGACCGTCAGTACGCAAGCTGTCCTCCACGGAGCCGATGACAGATTGAATTTTGGATTCCTTGAGAAGTGCCTTTTCTCGAGTCTCCGAGTCCAACCAATCGGCTTCCTCAAGCGACCTTCGGAGTCCCTTCCGCAGTTCCTGTACAATTTCAGACACTTCCAACCGTTTTTCCTCGGTGAAGTACTCCTGTAAGCAAAACCATTTTGAAGGATCAAAATCAATTGTATATTACGACTCCGAGACTTACCGCCATGTAGATTTTGTTGAAGAGGAAAGGCATGAAAGTCCGCAGAGTCGTTGTACAATAATCTTTTTGGTACTTGGCTTCACTTAGCTTGGCATCGAAATGGTAGAGCAGTTTCATGGACATATAATTGGCCGCAGCCTCAGGGTGGCGGGCACACACCTTATCGATCTTATCTAAGTAGTAATCACACGTATCATCGTATAAACTATAGTTCCAGGCGATGTCCAAGTAGTTAGTAGTGACGAACTTTGAGCACGTCTCTTCATCATGTTCTTTTATTTCAGCAGCCACCAGCGCCTCGCGCCAGAAAGCAAAAACCCCGTCGATCACTTCCGCAATTTTGTCCTCCGGCAGTTGAAAGGAACTTAAGTATCCGCGCATACGCTTCTCGTTAAGTCGGTAGACGTGGGAAGAGTTGCTGTCGATGCTGTCCTTTTGAACGATGGAGTCAAAACCCAGTAACGGGTTTACCAGTTGAAACGGAAAAGGATACTCTTCGTGTATCTTTTCGCGAGTTAAACCTGATGCCCCGTAATTGGAAAGGTGGGCGCTCATATTAAGCCAGTTAAAGTTGGAGGCATTCCAGGCAGCACCATCGACGGCGGGAAAGCCTCCGATCGACCTGATAAGCCTTAAGTAGTTTGGATCGGCAGCAGGAAACGGATAGAGATCTGCCCCCAGACAGGCATTGTAGAATCGTTGGGCAACCCTCAGCTCGCTGGAAACGTTGAGAGACTCCGCCAGGTCCGACATACCCAAAAGTTTTTCCGTGATGTCATCTAGTGTGTAGGTAATGTCCTTCGCAGAAGCGCGCTTTCCGGTGGAGTATCGGTCCGGTTTCATGTTTCGATAGTTTCCACAGGCGTACTCGTAGAAGTTGTCACAGGGTGCTACACTCAAGTTCATGTAGGACTTCATGAGATCTGCATGGGACTGTAGGTAGTTGGTAAGATTTACCGTTCTGGCGTTTGCTTTCGCGAAAAACTCCAGTAGAAAGAAAAATATCAGAGATCCACATAGTCCGGTGGCTCTCAAGCTTATCGAACAGAAAAACATGTTTATACCCGTTACTCGTAGAGTAAAAGGGTATACTAGATTCGTCGGAAAGTATGTAACAGGCAGAAGGAAGCGTTTCCGACCCCATATAGTATATATATTCTTGATCAGGATCACTAGCCGAGTCGATCTAGCCATGTCCGTCTGTCCGTCTGACCGTCTGTCCGTCTGTCCGTCTGTCCGTCTGTCTGTCCGTCCGGATGAACGCTGAGATCTCGGAAACTATGAGAGCTAGGCTATTGAGATTTGGCGTACAGATTCCTGAGCTTCTTACGCAGCGCAAGTTTGTTTCAGTAGACAGCCACGCCCACTCTAACGCCCACAAACCGCCCAAAACTGTAACTCCTACAGTTTTGATGATAGATAGAAAATTTTAACTGAAATGTATTGTTCTCATCAATACCTATCGATTGACCTAAAAAAAGTTTGCCACGCCCACTTAAACGCCCACAAACCGCGAAAACCTGTGACGCCCACAATTTGCATGCTAGATAAAAAATCTTAACTGAAATGTATTGGTGTCGTCAATACCTATCGATTGATCCAAAAATAATTTTGCCACGCCCACTCTAACGCCCATAACGCTTAAATCTGTCTACCGCCGGTAGGTGGCGCATTTTAATTTCGCTTTGCTGCTTGCATATCTCCATTTCCCTTTGAGTAACGGGTATCTGATAGTCGAGGTACTCGACTATAGCGTTCTTCCTTGTTTTGACTAATGTCACTCTTATCAGCGACTTAGGGGCCTTAAATATTTCCGTATGAAAAACTTAGACTTGCTTCGACTTCTTGATTCAAATCACAATTTTGAACTGTCTGCTTTCTAAAGTCTTAACCATTTATTGATGAATATTTGGGCGAGATAAGCACTCAAGAGTTGAATATAATATATTCACCATGCAATTGCTCTCTCCAAATTAAATATTTAGTGGATGGAAACCCTTTTTAACTAGACAAACACAAAAAAAGTTTGCAGGCCTTTTCTGGTTTTACTTTTGGAAATTTTTGAAATGCAATTTGACTCAAAGGAATACTTCGTGTCAATACTCTTATATCATCTAAACCATTAGAGAAAGAAGACTATTAGTTCAAAACTTTTCTCAAAGAAAAATACTTTTAAGCCGACTAAGTATTAGCATTTTGAGTGAAACAGTTTTGGGTAAACAGGCCCGCATGTTAAATCAAAATAAAGTCGAATACCTCTGCTTTAAGATACCTGTTACTCCAATTTAAAAACCAAAGATAACGCTATAGTCGATGCCATCGACTATCAAATACTCGTTACTCCGCTAAGGGCAGGGCGAGGGAGATGGAGATATGCAAGCAGCAAAGCGACTGATCCCAAGAGTGCACACTTCATTTGCTTTGATAATTATAATCAAAACAAAACCGCTTTACTTTTTTCCAAAATCTTCACTAATGTAGGCGCTAGACAGGCTTCAGCGTTATAGGCGTTAGAGTGGGCGTAAACTTGCGCAAAAGGTTAAAAATCGACATGCCAAATCCCAACCTTCTAACCTTTGTAGTTTTTGAGATCTCAGCGAGCACACGGACAGACAGTAGGGCATACGGACATGGCTAGTTCGGCT